AAGAATCGAAAAATTATACGTGAAATATTTAGACATCAAAGCATTGCTCTCATTTTCCGTCAAACCAAGTGAGTCACGGAATAATGTCACGAACATTTGCGGCGAAAGAAAAATCGAGAACTCAAAGAAGCAAAAGAGAACATGTCCTCCCTTCTCAACGACTTTCTCGCCGACTGATCCTATTGCTGGTCATGTGGTTCGTTCCGCTCAAGAAACCCGCTAGAAGGTTTCGCGACTGGATCTTGATGAAATAACCTTGGGAAAAATTCCGTGAATGATCCCAAGAAACTATCACCGACTAAGCAGAGCAGTCTTCTCGGAAATATGCGGAAACATTGTTAACTCCACGCGTCGTGTCAATCATCGCCCGTTACTTATGCGAAAAATCCTTCGTATATTCAGGATCATGTCATAACAAAGCAACTTTCAAAAATAAACGTAACAGGTTTTGCGAAAAGTATCTTCCTTATAGCGAAAACCAAGCTATATGATCCGGCACTAAACAACCAATCTAAATTTTGTTTTCTCGCACCACGATCTGAAAGATCTCATTCTGCGGTCCACGAGTATTTGCTCTCGTTCCTCTCGATTACATATGAGAAACTACCCCGTGAACAACTCCGCATGGACTCTGCATCGAGCTTCTTAGGCTCTGTCTCCCTCGGGTAAAAAAGAAACAATTTCCATACGAACAAAGGAAAGATTATACAAAACTTTCATCATATAATTCAAACCTAAAACGGAAAAAAGTTTTCTACAACAACGGGCATACTTGGCGTATCAATCTCGACAAACGCTACTTGGCCCTTGTCCGATCACGCTTCACTTCAATGCCAAGTTTACAAACCGAATCGATCTTATCGGTAGCACGAAAGTGTCGTGATCTAATCCTCTACCAAATACAACCTTGGCTGTGCGGCTGAATACAACCTTCACGCCAAGCCAATACAATCGACGGACAATGCAAACTTGTCAAAAATCTGCTAAGTTCTGTATTCTCACGACTCACTCTATTTCTGAAGCAAATTGCCTACAAAATCCAACATGTAAGAAAACGCTCGTAAAAGAGCTCCTGAAGCCGTACGAATCTCGGAAGGTCAACACTTCACAAAGCACCGTAATGAAAAACGCTTCATTTCGGGAACTTACGCGACCTCTCGGTCCTAATTGCTCTAGCACAAATAATAAAACTACTTAACATCCAAGCAGGAACGTGAGTTTTGGTTGCGAATATCCGCAAACAAACCAAAGTGTTCCTACAAAGCAGAGTTAAGACAAAATCCTCGCAAACCTCGCAACATCTTCGAGCCCAAAAACATTTCAAACACGAAACGCGGCATACGAAATAAAAAACCAATCTTCAGCATTGCGAGATGTCGCAGACGCCTGAAGAACAGTTTTTCGACACAAATACCTTCCTCGATAAAGTCATTTTCTTGGAAGACCTAACAGTCCATCCGCGACAATAAAATACGCAAAACTTCTTAACATACGTATCCTTCGCGAAGGCCCAAACAACGTAAACATCTATCACCTAAAAATTTTGTTGCTGAATCACAACAAACTCGCAACAGTTCTAAACAAACTTAAGTTATCTCGCAGAGACAGCTCTCGAACACCCGACACGAGGGTAATAGCGCTATAAAAGAAATCCAAACTTTTGGTCAGCACTTCCGGGCAACTTAGAAATTGTTCCCGGTGAGATGTTCGGTTCCAACCGGACGAATCATATAAGCCGAGAACCTATTGCGGATTCTAAATCGGTATGGAATCAGGTTAAAATCGCAACAGGCAAAACGAAAGCCGACTAGTCATCGCATAGCCTCAATCCGAAAGTAAACCTACGTCTCGCCCTAAACCCAGCACACTGGTCTCTAACGTCTCAAGGCATGAATCGAGATCCTAAAGGCATGTCTCTTCGTCTATATCTAAATGTTCACTCGATTTACTAAACATCCTAAAACGAGCAAATGAATAAGGCGATCCACAAAGGAAAAGGAATGCGAGACGACAACTCGCGGACCTCCCTCAATATCAACTCATATTCTTCCCTCTACATTCATACGAATAAAAACACGCTCTTAAAAACGCAAACTGATAAAGCCGCAAAAGCAGCAGGGACTCAGAGCCGCACACGGCCAGTCCAAAAAATATAACGGCCACACTTGGCCATAGCAAACATCCCACGAGGCTAGTCTCAAAGCCGGCAAAGGTCCAATACACATAACCAGACCGTAAAGGTCTTGCTAGGAAACATGTCATACGAACCTTAACTCCAAAAAGAACTACGAAAGGATTGATCCCTTTAATAGGGTACGTAGGCAGCCTTCACAAGGCGCAACACTAATCTAAACGGTTTCCACTCCATGGAGAGTGGAAAGAACACCTTCAACGGAACCTTCCAACCATTAATTTTACCTAACTTACCTAAAACTGGCTAACCGATCGCGAACCTCGCGCTAGAAGCTCAAGGTTCTAGCCAGCTGGGAGGCTAACTGTTGGTGTCAAAATCGGTCACGACAGAATCAATGGCTAAAGTTTCCGTAAAAAAATAAAAATATGTTTTATAAAACTCGAGAAGCCGTTTTATAAAATTCTAAGAAATTTCCGAACAAATAAAATCCGCGGAAAACTGGGAAATCGTCATCTCGGAAGAATGAACGAAACAAAAGCCGATTACACGATTGTCCGAGTTAAACACAAAACCACGAAAAAACCGCATCTGCTGTAAAACCACGAGCAGGTTCGACCAAACCAAGTTCAAAGTACGACAAGCTGAACCAACCGGTTCAGCTCGCCGTACGGCGAACTAGTCGGTCCTGGACCAGCTCACCGTACGGCGAGCTAGGTGGCAACGGACTAGCTCGCCGTACGGCGACCTGGTCATTCCCGAACATCTCGCCGTACATCGAGCTGACTGTACGAACCTTGACATCCCACGTCCTCGACTCAAGGAATACGTCCTTCGGCTTGATTGTGTTCTAAACCACAGTTGAAACGTCTCTCGTTTCGTTTAGATCCGTCCTATCGTTCAAGTTTTACGATAAAAGCTATTAAGTCTTGTTTTCTCGAAAAAACTCAGGGAAATCATATAAGACGGCAATGGTTAAACGAAACACCGAACATTGCCTAACTATGCGATTTACTCAAGATTTTTTCGTGAAAATCGTAAAATCGCGTTTTTAATAAAACCTCGAGTAAATCATAGAAAATGGCAGCGATTAACCGAAACATTGAACATTGCCAAACTTTGTGATTAACTCGAGAAACTTATTTAAAAACGGTATCGCATCAGGAAATGATCTCGTATAAAGTCATAAAACGGTTTTATCGCAAAAAGGCTTGAAAAGTCCTAAAACGCGATAAAAGCCTATCTCGCGACTTTAACGAAGTCTAGCCCAAAGATACGACGACGTTTTAACGATTTACTCGCAGAAAGAAGATAAATGTCAAATTTGAAGATAAATGTCAAGTTTGAGGATAAATAGAAGATTTCCGCGGGAAAAAAAAGGAAAGATAAAGATAAATGGAAGATTCTCGATAAACTCAAATCTGGACGAAATGGAAGGACTAAACCGCCTAGGAAGGGAGTATATAAGCAAGAGGCAGAGGACAGGAGAAGAGGAATATTTTCAGAGCTCTCATCTGAGACTTTTACAACTTTTCTAGACTTAGAATTTTCCGCACTTAGAAACCTAGGCTTTATTCTCGACAAGTTTGGTTTCTATGACTGGCACTCAATTACTAGACGAACTCGCCCAGGCAGTTTGATATCTTGTCCAGATCTATCAACGGAACTACGTTCGACTTGATCCTCGAAAGGGGTACGTAGGCAGCCTTTCATAAGGTTCAGTCCGAAATCAATCAAACTCTCTTTTTCTTATATTTTTCGTCTTTTGTTATCGAGCTGCGACTCGACTAGGTTTAGGGTTTTATGTTGATAACTCGCTGACGGCCCCTACGGCCTAAGCATTTGTAAACTCTTGTAATAATGGCAACGCTCTTACGCGAAATCAGAATAAGATCTACTTTCTCTATAAATTTGTTTTATAATGTTTTTCATATTTTCCGCATTTATTTGGTTACTTGTCATTGGCTTTCGCAGAGATCCGGGTCCTCTCGAAAATTAGGGTTTTCCTAAATTTCTTTATTTTATGGAAATCGACGGTGTGAATTTTTGTTCCGACAAGTATCTCGTAGAGACAAACGTTCCAATAAAGAATATATTGTTAAGTCATTCAATATTTTCTGTATTTAAACATTTGGTTATCTAGATTTTGAAATGTAACTAAATATATATGATATTAATAAATAATCTAGTTGGGAAATTCGCTAGGCACTACGTGCATAGCATACCGACGCCTAGAGATTTATTAGAAAAGCGGATAAAACTCGGAGAATACGCGAGGAGGATTTTTTTGTAGTTTTATATATACAATATCTTATTTATATGTATAATACAAGATATTTATGTATAAAACATGTTTATGTATGAAATATCTTGATAATAAAATTATAAATTTGTAAATACATACCAAATTAGATCACAAATATATAACTATATTTGTGTTTCAAAAATAAAAGATATAACTATCTCTATTACAATTCAAATCTACTAATCTATTTTATAAAGTAAAACATCCCTCCTTCTAAGGGATGCCACGTCGGATGACAGGTCATAAAGTCCACTTGTCATCTATAAACAAAACACAACTTTCAATAATAAGTCACGACATTCATCTGCTCTCTCTCTTTTTCCTCTCACGTTTTTTTTTTCTTCTAATTTCTCTCTCACATTACAGATCTCATCAAGTTCTCTTCGTTTCCACTGGACATATTCTTGATTATTGTGGTTGTCTTGATTATTGTGGTTGTCTTAGACAGAAGAGATGGAAAGCTCAGCCTCGCGTTAACCCAACCCGGTTTTGATTCGGATCTTTTTATTTTTTTTCTGTTACATATATTTAGTTCTAGGTCAAGCTTGTTGCCACCTAGGCTGTATGGTGGACGCGACAGTCCTTCTCCAAACCGGTAAACGGTTAGCCACCGCCGCGTTCCGTCGTCAGAGCATCTCCTTATCGGACGACGGCTTCATCTTATTCTCCTCCGCACACGACGGTTACTCTCCTCCCTCCGTCGTCGTCGTCGGCTCTTCCTCCCGACCTCTAACCGAATCGGAAAGCGTCGCTCACATGCTATCTCACATAAATCTCCTCTTACGCCGCCGCGGTCACGGCTCTAGACGCTGGACTCTACACCGAATCGATCCGTTATTTCTCCAAGATCCTAGACAGCTGCCGTGAGAACACCCGGGTACTCTCTCTCTCTCTCTCTCTCTCTCTCTCTCTCTTCATTTATATGTATCTTTTTCTCTCTATATCTCTATTTTTAAATTGATTTTTGTTTTTGTTTTTGGTAAAAAGGGGTGGTGCAGAAAGCTTGACGGCGGAGGAGGCAAATCAGCAGTTGTTGCAGTGGTGGTGGTGCAGGGAAGGCCGCTGGAAGAGGCTTCGACTATAAGAACTGTAATTCATATCCTGTGTATTTCAATCACTTCTATCCTCTCTATCATAAGATTTTCCAAAAAATCCAGTAATAAAAAGGCTTTATTTGTTGTGATCGGTTAAAAGGAGCAAACCGTATGAGTCAGGTTTTTGGAAAAAGACAAAAAAAATGTAGATGATTGTTCAGGAGGTTTTGATATCCGAGTCATATTTTTGGAAAAAGAAACCAGAAAAAAATTGATGATTGTTCAGGAGGTATTACCCTAGGAACTGATTGTTAGTCCGGGTTCTGCAACATCTACGTGATCTTAAGACGGTCCCTGCTTATAACCATAATATGATTCGATGTTGCTAACGTAACATGATTCGTGTTTTCTCACTGGTACTGATTTATATTACTCTAAACAGTGGCTTGAATCGATCGACTCGGCGACGATGATTATCACCAGGAGACAAGCTTCTTCTCAGAGTTAGGGGACCTCCGCTTTCTCTGATTCACGTCTCCTCCTCTGATCCTTTGCCTCACCTTAGTATCAAAAACACGCCAATCATTAGTCTCTCACTCACTTTCTAAAAAGATCTCGCCTTTTTTATTTTGATTGGTGAAAAGTGTTCTTGCAGGAGACATCATCTGCGCAGTTTATACGTCAAAGGTACACTGCTGCTTCCAGTGGACAGAAGCTTCAAAACTCTATAATAAACGGTTATGGGGAAGCTCAAGATGATCACTTCTGAGCTTCAGACCGCGACAAGAAGTGTAATGGGACGAACCCGTCTAAGGCTGAGAGTGGAGGTTTCGTTCTCTAGCAGATAAATCTATACATATTTATCAACAGTTTTGTAATGTTCTCTGCTTCTGTTTGGATCATTTGAATTGATGTTTCTGCTTATGCATATTGAGAGTCCTGTTTGGTTTCCTTAAAGTTATGCTTGATATCATGTTACGTGAGTTGAAAGTTATCAACAATTCTGAGAAAACTATTATTCTTAAACTTGATACTGAATCAAGATCAAGGAAAAAACCACTTTTGAAGTCTTTCCCATTAATTTAATGGGTTTGCCAACGTCTTCACTATGAGAATGAGATGATCTCATTGGCTTAGTAATGCTTTCAGGCAGAGAAGAAAGGAGACATTATCTTTTTGGGCAAAATACCTATTAAGTGGTATTGAAACAACTTCAATTTCACTTGAGGAAAAATTAAAATAGAAGCTTATGAATGTTTTGTATGTTGAAGTCATAGACACTTGCATTTATATGTTAATAAACTCAAAAGGAGTTTATAAGCAGAAGAAAGAAAGACAAACGTAACATAACAAATTATTTTTCAAAGATTTTATTTTTCCATGTTCTTCTCATTCTTCTCCTGGTTTGTTTTCTTGATCATCAATCACAGAAAGTTTATATTTATAAAAAAATATTGTATATTCTTTTTCAATTCGCTTGAGTATATTCACGAATTTGCTAAAAACCGGTTAAAATGCTGAAGAATAAAAACCATATTGTTGAATTTTCACTTATAGAACGTTAACTCGACAAATGATCCACTAAAAACTGTCAAGATATACGGCCTCTTGATCTAAATTTTAATTTTGGTTTGAACTTTTAAGATAAGTTTTATCAACACGACAAGTAATATACACTAAGTAGCTGGCACCAGCTTCTTTATTCTTAACGAGAATTGCAATCTCTACACACAACAGCTAACTAAAATCTATAGGTAGGTGAAAGTAAAATTCTCTGATTTTCGGGTAAGAAGGAAAGACTTTTTAACCATAGCAACGGATTGGGTCGTTGCATCCTTTTGCACTGGATTGCTTGAGTCCGAACCTTCCTCCTTTAGACAAGTATTGCTGGTTATCTTCCTCAGCTCGGTAGAATTTCTTAGCCGGTTTACATTGTTATTATTTTCTTCTTGCTAATGGTGGCAATTCTAAATCAATGATATTAGAATCGAGACAATAGAAAAATAAAACTAATTGGTCTATTTTATATGATTTTTTATAGGGATACGAAAACAATTTTAGTGTCATAAAGTTATTCAGATATAATAATATATAACATTTCACAAAAATATATATATTCAAATAACTACAATGATAGATACAAAACAAAACAGAGACATTAGAAAAATAAAACAATTGTTAGATGAAAATTTTTTTGAACCTAACGACTATAACATTAGAACAACGACAGTTGCATATATCAAAACTGTCTCACAATAAATTATAGGTATGGACGTTTGAATACATGTTCACTTAGTAACTAACCCTACTGGCATTTACCACCAATATAAAATGTATCAAATAACTTATATTTTTCAATTTCCGTTATCGTCTCATCCAAAATATATAGTATTATATACTCAACAATTTCTTAATATAAACACAACCATCAAAATTTAAAATAATTAATTTTAATATTTATAAATTGTTTACATTCAAAAATACTTTAAACCCATTAAAATTATTACACATTCCTCTTCCAAATCATAACATAAAACACATACAATGAAAATATACAGTTATATAGTAATATATAGCACACAAAAATTATATTTCGCGCGAAGCGCGGACCGGCCCTAGTACAAAATAAAAATAATTCAGATTTCTAATAAAAAGCGTTAAGGGCGAAATTCCAAGCTATCAGATTTTTTTTCAAAATAATTTGTCATTTCGTTTCTAAACGACAACAAAATAGTTGCTAAATAAACATATAGCCCATCGAAGGCCAACACTAATTCACAAATTGTTAAATTTAAAACATGTAAGACACAAGGCAGTTTGACCACACAAAAAAGACACGATTTACTTTCTAAAACATCCCACATCTGTACATTGGGGAAATATCGAACGTAGACAAGCACTATAAATACGCGTGATCTCCCCCCCCCCCCCCCCCCCCCC